GCATACCTTGTTGAAACTCAAGTCGGCGTTCCACAAGGACACGAAGTGCTAAGACACGGTCTATAGTTGACTTCTTGGGTGTAAACCCAGACTGCTCAGGATTCTGTGCTCGTAATAGATGGTCGCGCACTCGTGCCAAGAGCAGATGGGCGAGGACCTTGTCTGGTACACTTCTCCACCCGCCTTCAACAACTCTGCAGCAATCCCACAGACACCAGCAGTCTTTCCACTCTTCAGCTTAGAGACCTCCCTTCTCACCTCTTCGATGGCAGGTGGTGCCTCACTGATTGGTGGATCAGCCATTAGTGGCTGTGTGCAAGCCAACGGGAGTTGTGAAGACGGGGGATCTACCCTGTACAGTTGCTCAAAGTACTCAGCCCAGCGGGCCCTATACTCACCAGGCTCTGACACAATGCGACCATCCTCTGCCCTCACCTCACCGAGTTCCCTCAGGGCTCGGAAAGCAGGTCGAAGGTCATTTTGGGAAAAATGTCCTTCCAACTCTTCCACGATACTCCTAACATACCTCTCTTGGTCCACTCTCAGAGGCCCTAGCAGAGCGAGACAGCTCCCTGTGCAAGACATGGTTCCCATCTAGTCTGGCAGCACGACGCATCTCTATAGTGTTCAGTGTCTCGTCTGAGACAACACGCCTCCTTCACGCCTCCTTCGCCGAGGTCGGACCCCAAGGCACTCCTCGGCAGCTGACAGAGTTCCTCGCTTAAAGGTAACCCACAGTTCAGCAGGGTCCTGTAGAGTACCAAGCACTTCAAACCGATTTAAGACTGCCACTGCATACTCCTGAGCCACCTCCTCACTCTTGAGCCTCTCGAGATGAAACACCTGCTGGTGATATCTTGGGATGCGTCTAGATCTGAGGCGGAGCCTTAGTGTTGCGGTAGTAAAGAACTCAGCACTCCTAAAAACTCTACAGTTCTGAAGGATCTTCCAGCGAGTATCCACGAGAATATGGTCGATCTCTTTAGCTACAACGCCAGTATTGGAGTACCAAGTCCAGTGGTGTAGATCTCGTCTCTGGTACCACGAGCCTGCAATCCTCAGTCTCCTAGATCTTGCGAAGTCTAAGAGGTATAAGCTATTGATGTTCCTAGTACTAGAGCCATAGGGACCGATGCATAGCTCGTATCCTTCCCTGTCAGTGCCATTGACTGCATTGAAGTCCCTCAAGACCATGAGGGTGTCCCCTATATAGTCAAGTTTGGCGTAGAACATCTCTTTCTCTTCAAGCCCACTTCCCTCAGTAGGAGCGTAAACTGCCACTAGAGATATGAAGTCCAAAGTGTGCTTCATTCTCACAAGCAGAATACGCTCGTCAACAGGGGTAACCTTCTTGACTGAGGAACGGAAGCGGTCAGAGACAGCCACCGCGACTCCCCTAAAGCCCTGGTCACACTAGTAACTTGTAGCTAGGGATCCCCATGTGTTTATAGAAAATGTCTGCAATTAGTGGGCGATCCTCACAGCTAGCGATGGAAAACCAATACACCGCTGTGTTGGTGTTTGGTCGTTCGCTAATTAAATAATTTAAGTAATTTAAATAATTATGTACAATAATATTTTATTAGAATGAATAGATTATTGAAGGGTTACTCGCTTGACCATCGAACGTAAACACAAACATTCAGCAGGATTTGGCTTCTTTTTCTTTTGTTTTACAGCAGCAAGGGCTAATGCACACTGTGTAAGCGCCGTAATAGCTGAAAAATAGCCACAAAACTCATCTTCCGAGGAAAGCTCCATGGTGGTTTGTTTACTATCGGCGTCACCGCTGCGCGGGGACGATGGTTCTTTCTTGAGGACAAGTGTGACCACATCCCCGTCTACCGATAATAGCTGGTGTTCATGTGTAGGGGGAGATCTCATACAAGTTACTAGCTTAAGGCGCGCACCATTGCTACAGCCAGACCAGTAGTAGGTATAACCCCCACTACTGGTCTCACCACTACCAGGCCGTCGCACCTCAGGGAGAGCAGCGATGGCAATCCCCAGCCTCCACAGCTCCCCCGACAACAAAGGCAGTCGATCATCCTCCGAGAGACTGAGGATGTTCCAGGCCACTACACGGCACGCTCGCTGCAGATTGACCCCATGTGTGGGGTGACGCCTCGGCACAACTCGGCATGCCTCCCAAGGAGGAAGAGTGGGGGCCGGGGGGGGGCCATCCCCTCACCACGTAACCTCATACATATGTATATATGTATGCATGTGTGAGTGTATGTATATATAAATATATATATATATATATATATATATATATATATATATATTCATATCTGTGTGTGTGTGTGAATGGCCTTGAGGCAAAGGCGTCTCCCAGTTTTTTGTGAACTAATGCTCGTCGCATCCTTCCCGATATTTCCTAAAGCATGACGACAGAGGGACTGGTTGCCAGGCAAACCTGTTCCCTTTCAAGGTGATGTATATATTTTCCCACATTCATATCTGTACATACATGTGTGTGTGTGTATGTGTATATATATATATATATATATATATATATATATATATATATATACACGTCTATGTGTACATATATATATATATACACGTGTATGTGTACATATATATATATATATATATATATATATACACGTGTATGTGTACATATATATAACAATCCTCCCTGATCAGGCCTCGAACCTAGATCACTCCGGGTATGGAGGAGGGACAGTACTAATCCAACCATGCCACGCGACCCACTTATACATGAGTAATGATAGCGAGGTTTTACACACACTCCTCGTGGGTACTATATGTATATCTGAGTATATCTGACTCAGTATGTCTGGTTTCGAATTTCTATATCAATTTCCACCGAGTGCCTACGGGGAGTGTGTGTAAAACCTCACTATCATTACTCATTCATGAGTAGATTGGTAATGTCTATGGAGCTAGTTAGATCCTAGTTGCACACTTTTAGTGGGTCGCGTGGCATGGTTGGTTTAGTACTGGCCCTTCGGTCTCATATATGCCATGGTGTTAGGTTAGGTTGGATGTTGGGTTAGGACGTT